GGGAAGATACAGTATCGTGTAGAACCAGAAAGTTAAGAGGTGCACAGGGCAGGTGGAGGTCTGTCAGCAGAAGGTCTGCACCGCCTCCAGGAGCCCCCTCAGTGGCCAAAGTGGGAGCAGTTTGTGCAGCCGAATAAGTACTAACAGACTTGGGTTCCAGCCTGTGGGGTAAAATCCATGTCCATGAGTCTATGCAGATATAAATAAACAGGTAAGTGCAGGAGAAGAGCCTGCCCCTCCGCACAGCAGATTCTACTGAAAAAGTGTGTGTCTGGGGGCCAGGGAAATACCGAGGGCGAGAGGCTGACCGGTCAGGCCCAGTCTGCTGGTAGGTCGCGCAGAGACTCCGGGGATCATGTTGGTCGTTCCCTGCTTCTTTCTGGTCTTCTCTCTGTGTGTGCATAAATGTTGACATGTGTGGTCATTAAATTGATCTTTTCTTGGTATAGCACAAGCGTTATTCATTGTGCTGCATGCTTTTCTCTGTTGTAATCTTTCATAGCTACTTGTTTCAAAACACTGATTTATATTTTTGCTTTTGTTTTTTAACTTTTTTGGGGTAAATAGGAGGAACTTGCCTTTGTTTTTGAGATGCTACAGCAGTTTGAAGATGCCCTGGTGCAGTACGATGAACTGGACGCTCTGTTTTCTCAGTATGTTGTCAACTTTGGTGCTGGGGGTGAGTAATGAAGTTTTAGAAACAAATTCTTTTCTCAACATAGCTTTCCCCACTTTTGAATAGTATGGAAGCTGCTGTTTATTTACCTAATGATTTAAATCATCTTTTGTTGTTGTTTTTTAAAAAACATTGTATACAGTATATTCCCATGGTTCCAATAGGAAATGAAATGAGAATTGAGAATTAGTCACTTACACTTGCAGAAGAATCTTGAGTAATGAAAGTGTCTAAGAAGTTGCTTTTTAGATATAAAGTGTCATTTCTACAGCCTACAGCTGGCTAGTGATGCTTCTGATTCTGTGCCTCCTTGCTAGCATAAGAGTGGGAATCTTTTTCTTCTGTTGAGAGGTTGTCTTTTTAATATGTGAGAGTTCGTTACAGTGAGTCCTACATGACACCATTGTAAAGGGTGTTCATCTTTCTTTTAAACTTTTAAATGATGTCTTAAAGTCTTCTAAAAATACAAAACTAGCACAGTGACCCATATACAAAGAAAAAGTTTATAATTGTGCTCACTGTTCTTTGCTTGATATTTATTTTGAAGGAAATGGCATCATATTATCATGACCTTTGTCTGTAGCTTGTTGTTCTTACTAACAGTCCATCACAGGCATCTCTTCAAGCTAACAGATCAGGTTCTAAGTTATTTCTGATAAGAGCTGCAGAGTGCTCCATGGTGTGGATTTGCTAGACTTTATTCAGCCACTGGTGTTGGACATTTGGGTTGTTTCCGCTCTTGCTACCACAAGCAGTGCTGTGATAGACATCTTTGTTGGGGCTTCTTTTGAGAACCCTTGTCACAGTGTCTGAAGAAAGGCATGATTCCAAGGAGTGACCGTAGTGTCTGCTAGGAGACCTGTAGGAAGTGAGGTGCTGGGACAGTCAGTGTGGGCTGTGGGCACCACCCTTGTTCTGGGAGTGATGAAATGTCACCCACTGAGTCCCACTCCAAAACAGTTTTTATGCAGTTCAGGTTTGGATCTCCTTACTTTGCTGAGACACAAACATAAGCATATAACCAAAGCAAAGTATTCACCAATTAAGTTTTAAAAGTTTAGAAGAGGTAAAATTCCATTTCTTATATCTTACATATCCATATCATGCATATATATCTCAAATAGCTCACATGTTTCTTACATTATATTTTACATAATTTCCTTGTTCTCTCAGTTTTAAAATAAACCTGGGGCAATTTAAAACCAAAAGTAAGCCTGGACCAACTTTAGCAGCTAAAGAACGTTGTCCATTTTTGTTCATTCGTACAACAGACACTTCCTGAGAGCCCACTCTGCGCCAGCCCTGCTCTAAGTACAGTAGGGAGCAAAACAGAATTCCTTCCTTTATGGAGTTTACGTGAAGGGGAAACAGAAACAGAAAAACAGAAGTGTGACTTGAAGTCAGGTAGTGAGACTAGTAAGTGTGGCCTGCAGAAGAGGACACAGGTGCTGGGGTAGGGTGACGGTAGGTGCTGTTCAGTGTTAGACAGATGGCCTGGGAGGCTCTCCGAGGAGAGGCCTGACTGAAATATGGGGGGAGCCAGGAGAGTGCTGGGGATGGGGGCCCCGGCAGAGGGGCCTGCTGGGGAGGGGACCCTGATGGGTGGGGGCCACCTCACTTAGTGGGCACTGAATCAGCTGAGTCTAAGTTCAGATCAGTAAAGGATGCTCTGCTGTATTGGGCACTTCAGACATATGGTAACGTCAGTGTGCCAGTGTTGAGTCACTTCCTGAAGAGAACGTAGACTTAGATGGCTGTGACACCTCTCTTTTGGAGTGAGAAGGGTAGATTAAAAAATTTTTCATAAAGATTGAGTGACTTGTTATTGTAGATTCTTATATTTATTTTAAGATCGCAGTTGAGTCTTAGGGCTGTAAGTTAAAATCGAGGAGTCTTATTGGAAATTTTTGACAGTTAAAGAATTTTTCTCCTCTGCTTCCTGCTACTACGTCTTCCTTGTGCCTGCCGTCCCTTCCTGTAGGAGCGTGACTCAGGTATTGACATGGTTGAGGTGAGACAGGCATGAGGCTTAAATAAGTCAGGAAAAGTGCGGAAATGAAAGAAGATGAGCCGCATAGCACATTCAGCATGCTCCCGCCCGGGCCTCGCCCCTCCTCCTGGGCCCGGCTGACCGCAGAGCCTGAGGTGTCCCTGACCCTCAGCCTGGCCGCCTCTGATTGCATCCTGACCTGCTCAGGACCTTCTGGGCCTGGTACGGCCTTGTGCCCCGTGGCCGACGTCCTGTCCCCCAGGGCTCATCACTCGGTGCCAGGTACCCAGTGGGTGTCCTTACGGTCACCACCCTGTCCCGCATCCCTAGACAGGGTCCCCGCAGACAGAGGGGTGGGCCGGTGCTTCGGGCCTATCCAGTAGCTGAGCCGCCTGTCAGTCCACTAGGGCTCACGGTCCCGCGCAGTGAGGTGGAGGAATCTGCAGTCAGCGCCTTTCACGATGTGTGTTTGTTTAGATGGTGCCAACTGGCTGACTTTTTTCTGCCAGCCGGTGAAGAGCTGGAATGGATTGATCCTCCGAAAGCCCATAGATATGGAGAAGCGCGGATTGATACAGAGGCAAGAAGCCACCCTGTTAGATCTGCGCAGTTACCTGTTCTCTCGCCAGTGCACCCTGCTCCTCTTCCTGCAGAGGCCGTGGGAGGTGGCTCAGCGCGCCCTAGAGCTGCTGCACAGCTGTGTGCAGGAGCTGAAGCTCTTGGAAGTGAGTGGTCTCTTTTCCCCATTTACCCGCTTCCTGACTGTTGGCGTAGAAAACGCGGAACCTTCGATCCCAGGCATTGAACTGTATGTGCTTAGGAAAGAGTTTTCTTTTTGTGAATGTCCTTAATTTTTACTATATTATTTGCATACTTACTCTTTACACTGATGAATTAATTGCTCGAAAATGTAATTTCTGCTCTCAACACGGTGGAGCTCACTCACGTTGGCCCAAAGCGAGCCTCTTAGATCACTTTCTTTTTAAGGTAACTTTGGCTTATTCTGTGGGAGCTGGTCTTCACCGACAAAGATTAATATATGTACCTGGTGGACACACAGAATTAGGTTTTGTAGGTAGACGTTTGTTTTATTTCAGAACTGTCTTTTCAGATAAATGATTTTGCACATGAACATGCCGGTAACACTGTGAGTGATACACAGCAAGCTGTGCCATGTTAATTAGTAGCATGAAGTTTAATGGAGGTATGTTATGAATACGTGTGTGCATGTGTGTATGAAAGAAACCAGTTAGTGACGCTTTAAGTTGTTTATTTATAGTGAAATATTTGTCTTTATAGACTAATATCCCCCAGGGCTACTGAACTCTTCTTGCCCATAGCATCATAAACATTTTAGTGAGGTAAGGGAACTTTAATGACTGTCCAGTCTGAGGGTTCTCACCTTTTTTGTTTCAGTGACCTCTTTACACGGAAAGATGCACATAAGCACATACAAAATGTTACATATAATTTCAGAGGATTCATAGACACCCCCATTCCCTGGTAAAGAACTAAATGGATGGTCTAATTCCATTTTATAAATGAGGAAAGTGGGTCTGGAAGTGGTTAGATGACTTATAAGTAACATAGCTAGGCACAGAATCAAATCCTCCAAGCCAGGCTACTGTCCTTTCTGTCGTGCTCCACACCAGGGCTCGCAGGGGCACAGTTACAGAAGACCCAGGGTAACCGGCGCTAGGGATGGTTTTCATATTATAGTAATTTCTGTTTTGTGTTCCCTAGAAAACTAAATAACAGGCTCAACACTTAGTGTGAAATGACCTTAAGAGATCTACACATTTTTTTAAAAAACCCAAATGAAGAGAAACTGTTTTAGTTAATTTCTAAAGAAGAGATGCCTAGCCTAGCTGAGTCACAAACTTGAGAGTTTAAGACTTTTTATCAAATTATTTTTTTTCCTTGGACATCTAATCAAGTGTATGAGGAAAAATAACATTTTCAACCTTGAGGTGATATTCTTGTGGCTGCCTGTCACTGAGTAGATTTCGATAATCTGCTTTGGCTACTCCTATGTAGCTGTACAGACTGGGGTAGGCGGGGGCTTTGCTTCATTAATGGGGCAGGGCCGCCTGTGTTCATGGGTGCCTAGAGAGTTTACTGACTTAGAGATTTTGTCTCGTTACTGGATTGGGGAAAAGCATGGGATGAGTATTAGAGTCCAAGCAGTTCAGCCGTGGCGCTTTCAAATGGGGGTCACCCCAGGAGGAACTTTTAGGACGTGCACAGATGGGGGGCAGGTTTGGGAAACCACGGACGGTGGTCGGAGCCAGCCTCTTCAGTGCTGGGCCCAGCCGGTCACAAACTGTCTTTTTCAAATTCTTTTTCTTGCCTTAGACGGTTGACTGGTCAGTCAACTGCCAGGCTGCAGAGAGACGAGGGAGCACCGGGGGGCCTCTGGCCCTGCAGGAAGGAGCAGGGTGCCTCCCACACTTCTTTCTCCTCCCCTCCAGGCCTTCTGGAAGCTGGAAGGCAGGGCGCCCGGGGACAGGGTACACTCAGTTCCCAGGCAGGCGGCCGGGACAGCCAGTGTAGAGCGGATGCTACTAGCATCTTTGCCCGCCGCGTGTGGGGACAGTGTCCTACTCACTTGCTGTGCAGTGGGTCCCCTGGCTTGGCCTGTGTCCCGAGTTCTGTAGAAGTCGCTGGAATGGGTCAGTTTTCACCCTCTTGGCTGGAAAGAGAACCGAGTGAGTGGTGGCGGGCAGCGTGAGCAGGGCGGGGGCAGCGGCCGGGACGCCTGTCGTCCAGGGCAGCTGCTGCTGGCCCGGGTGCTCCCTGCAGATCCCGTCCCGGCTGGCGTTCTTCCCTTTCCTCGCTCCCCCCCTCTTGGTGCTTGTCTGCTTCTGCTGCTTCTGCTGCTTCTGCTGCAGGGCGAGCAGGGTGCTGAAGTTGGGGAGGGAGCCGCACTGTGGTCCCCGAGGACACGACTTCCCATTCCCTGTCCCCCTTGTGCTGTGTGACCGTGCCCCGCTTGGTGTCTCCTGGTGTCAGGGCAGCAGACGGGGCAGCCGGGCCCGTTGAGGTGCCTCCTCAGCCACCGTCGCTGGTCCCGGTGGGCGCCTGGCATGCCCCGGCCGTGGCGCTCCTGTGGGGCCGCCTGTCCTGTCTGCTGTGCTTCAGAGGTGCCTTCCGCTCTCACCCCAAGCTTGGCTCCTGTCCCGAGTCAGGCACCCTTTGTGAGGGGCAAGCTGCAGGGCGACAGTGCAGCTCGGAGGCCAGCAGCGTGGGCCCCAAGCAGCCCGCTTGCACAGGATGCCCCCTGCCTTCCCTCTCGGCCCTGCGGATGGGCGCCCAGCAGTGGCTGCCTGTGGGTCGGGGACTCACGAGGTGAAGCGAGTTCAGGGCGGTCAGCCTGTTGTCATCCTTCAGGCAAGTGAGGATACTCCTTACTGGCGTCTTCTTGGCTCTTCCTTTCAAAAGATGACACTGCAGAGGGCACGCAGAGCTTCACACACAGAATTCTTCTCTCAACTTTCTCAACTGAGATTCTTTCTCTAGGTGGTGTGGGGGCGGGGGGTTGTTACATCTTAAGCTTTGCAGTTGGCAGTTAACCTGAAAAGTTTATTCTTAGAGTTTCTTCAAATTTTTACGGAAACAATGAAAATTCAAGACTCAGAATTGTTTACTTTTCTGTACATTTGATTTGTACCCTCAAAACTAGACTCATTTCCTATGTCTGGCTAGCTTTCTGGTGATTATTGTTCACAGTCACGTCCACGGCCAGAGGCCGGCATGGAGCCTTGGGTTCTGCTGCACAGGGCCGGGCAGAGCCGCGTGGGCACATAGGCCAGGGCGTCAGGCAACGCGCAGGCTGAGCCGGTTCGTGGTTCTTCTAGGGTTAGGCTACGGTTGTTCATCCTTTTAAAGCCAAAAGCCTGAGTATTGCAGCCGTCTTGTGTGTTTCTCATTGTAACATTTCTTCTGCAGAAAATGCTGTGTGGGTTTGCTCTTGTGGCTTGTAAAGCATGCCCTGGTAACTTCCTGGTTGGCTTATCAGTTGATTTAAAGTATCTTCTCTGAGTAGGAGGCGCTGTGGTGGCCGGATGCCAGCTCTGGGGTGGGGCCTGGAGTCACACCCCAGGGGTGCTACCTAAGGCCTGGGACCAGCTCCCCGAGTGCAAATGTGTGAACATGGAAATTGTACCTACCCCGTACAGCTGCTGGGGCCAAGGAGTAACACCTGGAAAGTTATGTCAGTTCTGTGTGAGCTCCAGTGACTCCATTACAGAGTATTTCTTTTTGTCTGCAACATTTAAAAGATTCCCCCCCCCCCCGACTTTACCAAAAGTTGAGTATATTCTCTGTATAAATTTGGAAAATACAGACAGATATACAGAAGAAAATGTCATTGCTTATTCTAAAGCAAGAGGTTCCCTTTTTGGTCTGTGGCCTTTCTGTCTGGAGAAGAGCTGCTGTTTATTTAATTGGTCCTGTTTTGGACACTTGGATTGTTCAGCAGTGTCTGCAGTTGCAGGAGTGTGTATCCTTGTACGTCATCTTTATGCAGTGCATTCATGCAAGTAGAATGGCCGGTTCAAGGATGCATATGTCTTTAATGCTTTTAGTGTACATCGCCAAATTGCCTTCCAGAAAGATCTTCCCATTCTTAGTTAAACTAGCAGTGCTGTTTTCCTGCATCTATGGTAAGAAAGAAAGTAATCTGTGTGTATATTTTAATCTTTACCAGATTGGTAACCGAGAACAATATAAGGAAGATATTTTCTAGAAGGCCGTTTTATTTTTGTTACAGTGACTGCCCAGAGGATTTCTGTTTTGATGTGTTCGCCTCAGTACTGACTTGTCTTTTATGAGCCTAGGTTCTGATTATGTTCACAGACAGGGCAGGCCAAGGGGGATCGGGCGGGACGCTTCAGGACCTAGAGACACAGGCCAGTGCCGGGCATGAGAGGCCACTGGCCCAGCTGGCTTTGCTGTTCCAAGGTTCAGGCCCCGCAGAGGACAAAAGCAGAGGTGTAGCCGAGGGGCGGACCTCAGGGTCGTCGAGTACTTGCTGTGTACCAGACACTCTGCCGGGCTCCTCCCCACGTGGATAGGTGGGATCCTCGTGGGACCTGGAGCCCTGAGGACCTGAACCGGGAGAGCAGCGGGAGCCGACAGGAGGAGGTAGCGGCGCAAGGTGTCAGTGCCGGTGAGAGCCAGTGGTTCGCAGGAACGGGGAACGCGTTCGAGGAGGAACTGCCCAGTACCATTCAAGAAACAGTTGCTTACCTGCTGGGCACTGTGGTAAACACAGTGGTGGGGGGAGGGCCCGCAAATGCGGAAGAAATGGGTCCCACCCACCCTCAAGAAACCCACAGCGGGGTGCGTGGGGCCAGCAGGTGAGCAGGCCGTCAGCCTGGGGCTGCCAGGCAGTGAGAGCGGAATGTTCGGAGGTGACGAACAGGTGGTCAAGCAGGGAGGGGCAGCTTGCGTGAGTGTGTCGGCGGCGCCTAACGTGTGCCAGGGAAGGTCTGCAGAGGTGGTCTCGTGTGAGCTAGGTTTTAAAAGATTCATTCATTCAGCAGTTATTCGTTGAGCACCTGTTTTGTGCCAAGCAAGCATTTATTCTAGGCACTGTGTTTTTAGCGGAGAGCACGACAGACCAAGCCCTGCCCTGTGGAGGAGCTTTGGTTTTCACGGGCTGAGTCAGGATCCACCAGGTGGGCGTGGCTTGGGTGGCAGGTGCAGAGAGTAGAGTGCGTTTCAGGAGAGGAAGTTCACTGTTGCTTCAAGAGCTCTACAGGAGCTTAGTCTTGCTAGAACTTAAGGGCTGAGGCAGGGCTCGGAGGGGAGGCTCCAGAGGTACTGGAAGCCAGGGTTTGCAAGTGTACGTCATCTGGAGGGTTGGATTTTATTCTGTAGCTATTAGGAAGCCGTTGCTGGGTTTGAAGCCGGGGTGCGCGCAAGGTGTTAGGACCTGGAGGTGGAGGCGGAGACAAGCGAAGGGCTAGGAGGAGGCGTGGGGAAGAGTCCGAGGGGAAGCCGAGGCCTGAGCCCAGGCGCTGGGGTAGAGCCTGGGCACGTGAGGTGAAACTCACTCAGTGAATACACGGTTCCGAGTCAGCCGAGTCCCACGCCAGCCACGAGTGATTATTATTCTATGAAAGATGAAACAACAAAGCTTCTGCAAGATAATGTGGGAGAGCATCTTTACATCCTTCAGGTTACCAGGTGTTTCTGAAACAGGACAGAAAGGCACTGGCCAGAAAGGAAGTGCATGGAAATCAGAGCTTCTCTTCATCAGTCAGCACCACAGAGGGGGTGACGGGGCCACAAGCTGTGCGGTCAGGATGGGCTCTTGCCCAGGATATGGGAGGAGCTCCTGCAGATCAGCTTAAAAGACTGACAAATAAAAAATAGGCAAATGAAGCTATCCAGATGGCCAGTAGGCATATGAAAAGGTGCCCCATCTCATTAATTATAGTGAAATGCAAACTGCCACCACAGTGAAGCCCCCACAGTGGCTGAAGTGGAAAGACCTGACAAGTGTTAGTGACGGGGGAGGAGCTGGAACTCCCTCCGTGACGAGGAGACTGGGAGTTGGCGCCACGACTTTTGAAAACGGTTCGGCGGTGTCTGCTGGAGCCAAACCTGCGCGTGCCCTGTGAGCCCGCAGTCTCCCCCCAGGTCTGCACGGAGGGTGTTCACAGGTGTCCAGGAGACAGTGCCGGGATGCTCGTGGTGGCGTCGTTCATGACTGCTAGAACCGGAAATAACCCAAATGCCCATCACGTACGAGGGAAACGGTGACTGCCGTCTGTTCAGACAGCAGACTGGCGTCTGGCAGTGGGAACAAATGAACCCGGAGTCTCATGAACATAAAGTTTAGCTGGAGTGGTCAGACACCGAAGAATACCTACCTGTTGATTTTGTGTACAGGTGCACGAGGAAGCACAGATGTTGTGTCGGGAAGCGTGTGGCAGCCGCGGCCCTCCAACGGGGCGGCCCCATCAGTGTTCACGTTAGGACGCTGGCTTTTTCGGTATTTGGGTTATATTTAAAAAGGTGGTTTTAGCAAAAGAGAATGAAAAGAATGCCTTTAATTGTACGCTTAGAAAATGGTAAAGCGGCTCTTGCCGTGACCAGTAACACTGATAGCAGCAGAAGAGAGGGGCTCGGAAAAAACTAAAGGGTGCGTGATAAGGAATCAGTTTTAAAAAGTCTGTTGTTCACGAAGGAAACTGTCCAGAGGGACCCGGAGCCCAGGGAAAGGCGCCCGCGCCCTTCCTGTTAGGGTGTGCGAGCTGTGAGACGCCCAGCGCGCCGCACGGTTCCGGCCGGGGCTTGGCCCTCGCGCGGGGGCGGGGCTTGCTCTTTGCCGGGTGCGGACAGCGTGGGTGCTGGGGTGGGCGGCCTTCCCAGGGACACGGGCTGCCGCCCTCTGTAGACGTGTGGCTCCTGGGCGAGAACCTTGTGGGCTGTTGGCACCCCTCGTGTGTTTGCTGGAGTGCGTGCGCCCACCTCGGCTGCGCGCCCTGCGGAGCTCGCCCAGTTTGATTGCGGGGAGGCACGTGCTCTGTCCAGGGTCCCCGAGCTGCATCCTACCAACCAGCTGTCTGTGCGTCCCTTTGAGGGTGCTCCACTCTGGGCAAGAGAGTCAGTTGTACCACTTGATGAAAGTTGCTTCTGGTCATGTAATTTTTTTTCTATACTGATTTTTTTCAAAGGATCTAAGCAGTTTGTCTCATTTTTCAAAGACTGGGCAGCTCAGTGTTTATAAGAATATTTAATAGCATTCTCTGTTCTCTCCAGTTGGTGCCACGTCCTTTTGTTTGTGCTCAGGGTGTGTTGAAGGAGTCCTTCTTACATAAGTCAGTCTCATCAGCTAATGCGGCTCTTCCCTTGTCACCTGATGTAGCAGCACCTCTTACTTTCCCACTTTGAATAGGACTAATTAGCATGTCTCACCAAAGCTAGGACACCAGTTGTAAGATATCTCATGATATCAGTGCCACCAAGAAGACAGTCTACTCTGCCGAGTGTGAGTGTTAAGATGCCCTTGACTGTGAGGCATTCCTATGTCAAAAACACTGAAACGTAGAAAAGAAGTCCATTTTAGAATCAGTCACATACAGTAGATGCTTTTGAATTTCTGATAACACTTTATTGTATCTCTAAGCAACAGGTGCTCTTTTTTACAAACATAATTACACTTAAAAAATTAATAGCAATTCCTAAATATCATCTAATATTTACTTGATATTTAGATGTCTAGCATTGAACATGATCTTCTGAAATGTGATCAAGTGGTCATCTGAGGTCTTAGCTTCCCACCTTCACCTTATATGCTCTTTAAACTGAGAGGTGACCAGTGTTCAAACGTAGACTAAGTGATGACAGTCGGCCTTTTTGTAGGCTTCTTTTGTTAATAAGCTTTTAAAGTACATGCTTGCAAGTTACATCCCTGCCAAGTCACTCAGTATCATCAGAAATATGACACCAAATAGTGTGTTTAGACACAGATCGCTCCTTTCCTCCCGCAGGTGGACTGCTGTACAGGCCCCGTTTCTCTTTTCCTGTAGTTTTGCAGAGACTGGGTAGCTGCTTGGAGGGGCAAATGCGGGCGAGCGGGCGCCAGTGCTTCCCCCAGCGCTCTCCTCACGCGCCCGCGCCTGTGCCCCCAGGTCTCCGTGCCACCCGGTGCCCTGGATTGCTGGGTGTTCCTGAGCTGCTTGGAGGTGCTGCAGAGGATAGAAGGGTGTTGCGACCGGGCACAGATAGACTCAAACATCGCCCACACTGTGGGTCTGTGGAGCTACGCCACAGAGAAGGTAACTGCCCCAGTGCCGATGTGAGCCTCGGCCGGGGCTCTGCCTGCGGGGCTGGGGGACGGAGTTAGCTGTTTGGAGAAGTGCTGCTCACCTGGTCCCTGCACAGGCAGCTCTGGCTACTTCAGGGTGCGTCTAGGAGCAGCGTGGATGCAGTCGTTCCCTGCCAGTATCACTGTATCTGGCAGACATCAGGTACTCGCTGCGCTCGTGCTAAAGGCAGGCTTCTGCTCCAGGAATGGGTGGGGGGGACAAAGCAGGGTGAGCGTGCACCCGTGTGCAGAAGTGCAGGAAATGACAGTAGTCCCGAGCGCGCAGCAGGAAGGCCTGCCGGGGGAGGGGTTGAGGTGGGGCAAGCTTGGGAGAGCGTGGGCGAACAGCACAGGCTGGGGGTGACCAGCGTCAGAGCCGCTCTGAGGATTATTACGTAGAACGTTTGAGTTTGAAATGATCCCAGTAAGAAAAATTTTCATATCCAGATGAGAAGCATTTGGATAGGAAAGCTAAATTTCTTACTAGTATTTAGATGGTTTTAACTTTATATTTAAATTTGTAAATTCTCTGCTGACTCTTACAGCAAATTAATTGAAATTTGGTGTTTATCTCAACAGCTAAAGTCCTTGGGCTATCTGTGTGGACTTGTGTCAGAACAGGGACCTAACTCAGAAGACCTCAACAGGACGGTTGATCTTTTGGCGGGCTTGGGAGCCGAACGGCCTGAAACAGGTACTTTTTGAGATGTCCCCGTACACGTGGTGGAAAGCAATGAGAATGTCGGCTGTAACTGGCACATATAATTTGGGTTCCGCGATATAATTACCCACCATTTGGGAAATTGCACTCATTATTAGCTGACCAGATTAATACATAGGATATTTTAGCTTTTAATAGCATAAAGAAATGTCAGAAATAGTTTAAGAAATTGTGGGACTTGCCTGGTGGTCTGGTGGTTAGGACTTCGCGCTTCCACCGCAGGGGGCGCGGGTTCCATCCGTGGTCAGGGAAGTGAGATCCCGCATGCCCGTGCCGTGTGGCCAAAGGAAAAAAAAAAAAGAAAGAAAGAAATTGTAACGATTCTTAAAAATGTGTCTGAGTTTCTTGTAGGCTTAAATGAGCTGATCATGCCTTTTTACAGACCACGTGAAGTTTAAATGCACCAATCTTCCTCTGAATTACAGATGATTATTTTTCTAGTGATATGGCCAGACAAATCCTTTTATTGAGTAAATTACCCCCTAGGTAATAAAGCACTTTGAAAGGAGCGTTACTGATTCTTCTAGGTGGGAGCACCGCGGTGAGTATGATTTAGCAAAACTGTTGCTGAAGTAGGGCGTACCTGAGGGCCTGAGAGGCCTCTTGCTGGGTCGGATCAGTTTGTCAGGGAAAGTGCGTCATGTGTCTATTACACTGTTTCCACCTGAGACCACATCAAATCATTCTGGAAGTAATTTAATTCATTGTAGGATTTGTAACACGTACTTAAAAAATTCTAGTCTCAATTAAAGATAAAAGTATTACTTGAAGGGTTTAGACTATTTCATGAGTATATTAGTTAGACAAGAATGTAAGTAATAATGTAGTTTCAGTTGGAATGGGTTGTTTGTGATTTCCATAAACATCAGGCAAAGTCCTTTACCTGTGACATTTGAGGCTCAATGTAAACTCACATGACGGGACATAATGAAGATGAATAAGGACTCTTATTTCTTTCTGTTTAAGCCAACACTGCTCAGAGTCCGTATAAGAAACTCAAAGAAGCGTTATCATCAGTAGAAGCTTTTGAAAAACACTACTTAGTAAGTATTACAAATCTTCCCTGCCTACCCATGGCAGAAAGCCCCTCTCTACTAGACTTTGCTACTTTGTGACCTTTTGAGTTGGGGAATGAGCTGGTATTTGGAACCTCCTTCTTGTTGGCCTTTGAAGTTTCTTTGGTACCCTAGGGAGTTTGCATGAAACCTGGAATAGTTGGTTTATCAGTATCCTTGGCGCCATAATTAGGCATAAGAGCATCTTTGGATATTTATAATTTTGTTCACAATGGTATTGCTCATTCAGTAGAACAGAAATTGTAAGAAAGGGTAGTGAATGGTTTTCTGTGTACAGAGGAACAATTTGAGCCTGAACAGAGCTATTGTACTTGATTTTAAAGGACTTAAATTTGGACAGTCTTAGAAAGCAGTGCAGACGGTGGACCGTCTGCCTTCCCGAGTCACGGTTAATTCAACAGCATTTGACAGTAGTCTATAATACTGTCTCTGTCATCCAGAATGTGAGAAAAATATTTAAAATGTTACCCACAGATGGAAAATACTTTGAAAAAAATTATTCTGTGCCTGCTGAGTTCACCTTTCTTTTATTATTATGATTTATAGTTTATGTACAAGTTAATGACTTTGTATAAATCACTATTACGTAAAAACTCAAATAACACAAAAAGAGATACAAAGTAAAAAATTATGTTATATTAATAAGGAAGTCTTTTGCTTCAGCCTTGGGTAAATAAATGTAGGATTTGTCTAGCATTAAATTTAAAGTACAGAATTATTTGGTTCTTTGCTTTTCCACAGGACTTGTCCCATGCCACCATTGAAATGTATACGAGTATTGGGAGAATTCGATCCGCTAAGTTCGTTGGAAAGGATCTCGCGGAGTTTTACATGTAATTGGTTTTGAACTTTTCTTTGAATTTCAGACATCTCACGTGTAGTAAGAGGTTTGTTATGTAGGAGCTTATATGAAGTGTACATAACTTTGTAGAACAAAAAATGTGAACTGTTAACCAATCATGATTTCTTAAGAAAATTTCTTTGAAAACCGGAGTGAGTTCAGCTTATTACCCTTAATAATTGTTACTGATCTTTGTGTTTCTTGCATTTAATTAATTTAATGAACTTATATGTAAATACTATATACACGTAGATAATATATATACCGTTATATGTGACACATAGTATGTGTTCTATAGCATTTTCTCTAGTTGCTGTTAAATGCCTCCTCAGAGGATTGAAAGCCTCGAGGTCAGTGACGTGAAGCACGTGATGTGTCAGGTCCGTGAGAGAGGGCTGAGCCGTGAGTGCTTGTGAGCTGGGGTGTGCAAACACTGAGCATTTCTAGTCTGGCTCCAGCTTTGGAGTGGATTCCAGAGAAAAGACTAAAAGCATGGCATATTTCTCACGTGTTTGATAAAGAACCCCTGCTGGCAGTGTAACTGCTAGTTCAAAGCACTGGGAAGAGATACAGATTATGAGGGAAAAGACGTTTACATTTTCTCAAAAGAAATGTGTGTTTGAAATGGTATCTTGAAATCTATAGTTAGTCATTTCATTAGATGAAACAAGAAAGAACAATTTACTTTAACTGATTGCAGGGCTCCGAAGGGATCTGTAGATCATCTGAGTGAACTTCCTAGTGTTTCAGGTGTGATTGGAGCAGGGAGTCAGTTGCACAGCTGAGTAATGCTGGGGCTGGAGGTCGGCTCTCCGTGAGTCTCCAGCTAGTGTATCTGATGACTAAATCAGTAGCCATGTCCTCAGGTGCTGTGAGCTGAGGCTTGGAGCTGCAGTGGGGTGATGCTGGCCTGCTAACTGGAGACTTGGGTCCTGGTTCTGGCTTGACCATGGACCAGCCAGATGACCCTTGGCCTGGGTCTACGGCGACTGGATGACAAATGCCCTCCCTTCCAGCTCTACAGTGTAAGAATCTTTGGCTGGAGGTAGTAACTGAAGAAGTATATAGAAGGTTCTGACCCCTTTAAAAAATGGGGGAGGACTTCCCTGGTGGCGCAGTGGTTAAGAATCCGTCTGCCAATGCAGGGGACACGGGTTCGAGCCCTGGTCTGGGAAGATCCCACATGCCGTGGAGCAACTAAGCCCGTGCACCAACTACAGTGCCTGCGCTCTAGAGCCCGTCAGCCACAACTACTGAAGCCCGCGCACCTAGAGCCCATGCTCCACACAAGAGAAGCCACCGCAATGAGAAGCCCGTGCACCGCAACGAAGAACAGCTCCCGCTCGCCACAACTAGAGAAGGCCCGCGCCCAGCAACGAAGACCCAACGCAGCCAGAAATAAATAAATTTATTTTTTAAATTAAATAAATTAAATTAAATTAAAAATGGGGGAGAGGACCATAAAAGTCTAGAGAAACCGACACACGTAATTGATAGGTTTAAAATTTATTTGAGAATTTGGGAACTCTCATTGCTTCAGAAGTAAGCCCGGGATGTTGTCCCAGCATGCTTAGAGAGCGAGTGCTTGTTTGGTGTTGGCCTTCGTCCCGTGAAGTCAGTAGCCCCAGCCCTCTGCGAAAGGCCAGGGCATCCATGTTGTCACTGAAGCTTTGGCAGGCTCTCATTAATTGGGTTTTAAACTTTGTTATATTCTGAAAGTCTTGAGGGTTTAAATTTGGGTGATAGGTGTTGATATTTAAATTCCTCATAGTTCTCTGTAAATCTTTGAAACCTGCTCGGCGCTTTTGCCTGAGTTTCCAACTTGAGTCAAGCTCCCCTGTCGGCTGGCCTGTGTAGGCCACTCTGTGTTGGCCTGTCTTCAGCAGTTAGTGTGGCCCCGAGCCCAGGTTTCGAAGCTTCCTCCATAACTAGTTGTGTGCCTGTGGACAAAGCCTTCCGCTTTCTTCACGCTTGGTGTTCTTAGGTCAGCTTGAAATCGTGAATGACGCCCTCACGTTCTTATCCGGAGATGCAACTCTGAAGGCTCTTTGGTAGTGTAGGATGCTGGGCAAACAGCGTTTGTGGGATTCTCAGCCTGAGCGCATCTCAGGTCCAGTTATAGGTGCTCCTGATTTCTCGTTCTCTTTCGTGGGGGCTGGTCAGAGAAGGACTGTCTGCAGATGGCACCAGCTTCATGGTGTGGGGTTGTCAAGGGTGGAGAGCAGGCCGTGAAAGGTTATGTCTGAGTTTGTTGATTATCACGACCCATAATGAAAGCTTCTGTTTGTTGATTTGCAAGGAGGAAGAAGTCTCCCCAGAAGGCAGAAATCTATCTTCAGGGAGCCTTGAAGAATTATGTGGCTGAGGGCTGGGCACTGCCTATCACACACACAAGGAAGCAGCTAGCTGAATGTCAGAAACACCTTGGACAAATTGAAAAGTATCCTTTAAGTTGAATACGTTCATGAAGTAGGAGGATTGCTTTCTCTCTGTATGGCAGCCGTGCCCGCCATTGAGGGTTTAAGGAGCACCTGATAACTAGGAGAGAAAAGCCTGCCTCGACACGCGTACTGTGTTGGATAGAAGCTGGTGCCTAGTCAGCGTATCTGACCTCTGCCTGAGTTCCTGTCACCCTAGAGAAAGGGGAACACCCGTTGGGATGCACCCTCTGGGGACTGGAGGGGCTGTGTGCGCAGTGCCCCAGCGTGTGGTCCTCTCAGGCCCCTTGACCCTGCACCCAGCTACCTTCAGACCAGCAGCCTCCTGGCCAGCGACCGGCACCTGACTGGGAGCGAGCGGGAGTACTTCTGCAGAGAGATTCTTAGCTTCGCCAGCCGGCAGGCAGACAGCCCAGGTAAGCCTTGTTTTCAAACATTACTATGAAAAATTTCAGATGTCATAGAAAAGCAAACACGATAATACAGCGTGTGTACTCTATACTGACCACCTAGATTCAGCAGTTGTTAACATTTTGCCGTGTAGCAAACGTGTGTCTATATCTTTCTTTTTTCTTTTTGCTGAACTTCAGAGCAGCTCCAGACCCTGGAACAGTGTAGCATCTTCTGAAAACAGAGGTGATTCCCTAACCACCCTGCCCACAGACGGACAAGGTTCTAAGTCGGGCTACCAAGTTAGCCCCTCTTCAGATCTCCCGCATTGTCTTGAAAAGTGTTTTTACAAATTATTTCATATTCAAAATAATTGGATTCTACTAGTCCAGTCAGGGGTCACACACTGCATTTGATTGTTGTATCTCAGTTCTCCTTTAACTTAGAACAGTCTCTCCGTCTCGTTTTCTTCCTCTTTTCCAGACACTGACCTTTTAAAATACAACAGCTTTATTGAGATAGGATTCACAGTGTGCAGTATACGACTCTGTAGCTTTTGGTGTCGTCACAGACATGTGTACCCGTCCCACGGTCAGTGTTAGAGCATTTTTATCACCCGAAAGAAACCCCACACTTATTTCCTCCCGACCTCCTCCTACCACCCCCCATCCCCCCAAGTCCCCGGGAACCACTCATCCACTCTCTATCCCAAGTCCCCGGGAACCACTCATCCACTTTCTATCCCAAGTCCCCGGGAACCACTCATCCACTTTCTATCCCAAGTTCCCGGGAACCACTCATCCACTTTCTATCTCCGAAGATACGTGTTCTGGATATTTCACGTAAATGGAATCATGCAACATGTGTTTTGTTGTGACCGGCTTATTTCACTCAGCACAATGTTTTCAGGACTCAACTATGCTGTAGCGTGTGTCAGCATTTCATTCCTTTTTGTGACTGAATAATATTCCGTGGTATGGATGGACCACACTGTGTTCATCCCTTCAGCGGTTGTTTGACAACAGGGTTGTAAGGCACTGACTTTTTAAAGACATCGAGCCACTTGTCTCATAAACTGTCTCACCGTCTGAAGTTTCTTGAGTATTTCCTTATGGGAATGTCCAACAGCAAGGTAGATCTCAAAGCCTTAGGTTCAGGCTAAATGTTTTGGCAAATATACTTTAAGAATTGCCGTGTAGGAAGATTAACTTTATTGTAATATTTAGCTTCTCATGTTCAGTTTATCAAGAAGAGTATTTATTTAAAATAGTCACTGTCTTAGTCAGCTCGAGCTGCCATAACAAAATGCCACAGACTGGATGCTTCAACAGCGGGTGTTTATTTTCTCACAGTTCTGGAGGCTGACATCTGAGGTCAGGATGCCAGCAGGGTGGGTTTCTGATGAGGCCTCTCTTCCTGGCTTGTCCCTTCAAGGCAAGGGGTGGGGGTGGGGTGGAAGGGAGGTGGAGAGAGAGACTCAGAGAGAGTGAGGGAGCAGGAAGGGAGGTGCGGGGAGAGATGGGGGAGAAATGGAGAGACTCAGAGAGAGGGAGGGAGGAAGCGGGGGGGGAAGGGAGGTGGGGGAAGAGGTGGAGAGGGCTGTCTGGTGCGTCCTCCTGCAAGGGCATGCATCCCTCATGAACTCATCAAACCCTAACTCTCTCCCAGACGGCCCACTGAGGGGTAGGGCTTCCACTTAAGAATTTTGGCGGGACCGCATTCAGTCCATAGCGGTTGCTAACTGCTTGAAAGCCGGTGTTTCCAGAGGTTTTGGCTTCGGGTTGCTGTGGTCATTGCCTGCTGGGGTGTGCGTCACGCACATCAAGCCATCTGCATGGGTTTCTCAGGGGCAGCGTGGCACTGATTTCTGTTTCAGAGCCTTGAATGTGCCCAGACTGGTCATTGTAGAGCTGTGTGCCGAATCTGCTGTGTGTGGCACACGCGTGAGACTGTGCAGTTACGCTTTTCCTGCCAGCTTTCCGTGGCGTCTCTGTGAAGAAAATACTCCGTGATTGTCCCTGTTTTCTTGTGATTTTATGGCATCAGTCTTGGCACCGCCTCCCTTACCGGTCAGTCCAGTGGCCTTGTGGATGTTCTAGACACACCAGTGCTTGTGGAAAGGAAGTTGGAGGATGCAGTGGGTTCACCCCTGATGGTGCCTCTGGAGCTGGGGACCTGCTGCCCTCCTGGCTCCTCACTTCACTGGCTGGCCTCACAGGGTGACACACACCTGGGTTCATTTCCAGATGTACAGGGCGGTTTGGGCATCTTTACTGGAGAATCTTTCTGTGCATGGGGAGGTGGTGGAATCCCCTGAAACAGCTCTAGGAATTGGACTTTACAAATCTTGTTTTGAAATTGAGGAGTTGGTTGACCTGTATTTCTCTTGGGTTTGCCAAAACAGGAGTTAGAAACCTTAATTTCTTCAGGTCTTGTGATTTCCAGGAGTTATCTAGGCATGTGTTTCTGTTCTCTTTTTGACAAAATAACTCTTTTTGGTGTGTGAAGATGGCACAAGGTTGGGAGGGTCTGAACCATCTCTTTTGCACATTATTGCTTCCCGCAGGCCCGATGGTGGCCCAGTCCTGCAGTCTCTGTAGCATCTGGAAGTGTGACTTAGGAAGTAAAACATGGTACTGTGTATTTACAGGTCACAAAATAGTACTCCCTATGCATTCTTTTGCACAACTGAGAGATCTCCATTTTACCCCTTCCAATGCTGTGGTCCATGTGGGTGGTGTCTTGTCCGTGGAGATAACCGTGTGCAGTCAGATGCCCGTGCCTGTCCACGCGGAGCAGATTGCCATCAACGTCCACTTCAGCATCGAGAAAAACAACTACCGGAAGACTGCCGAGTGGCTCACCAAGCACAAGACAGCCAACGGGATTGTCAGCTTCCCGGCAGAGACCTCGCCTTTCCCCACATCCCAGAACAGCTTGCCCGCGCTGGAGCTCTGCGAGATGTTTGAGAGAAGTCCTTCCGACAACTCCTTGCACACAACAGGGATTATCTGCAAAAATGTCCACGTGCTCCTAAGGAAGCAGGAGAGTGGTGCGTCCCTGGAAGTGCCCTCGGGTGCCGCCCTGGAGGCTGGGGCCCACGTGCTGAAGTGCACCGCCGTGACCCTGGAGCCGGGGCCCAATGCAATCACGTTCAGGACGCAGGTGTGTGTTGGGTGGGGCGTTTTCTTCGGGGGGGCCGGGAGCGGGTGGCACGTGCAGGAGCCCTCTGAAGAAGCTGGGAATCCAGTAGACGTCTCTGTCCTGTTAACCTGGCTTTGATTTTTATCCTTAAAGAAAAACAGGCTGATGTTTTGAGAAAACCTTTTGTACTTATATAATTGTAAGGCAGTTGATACATTTTGAACGAAGTTCTTGACATGAGTAATTGCTTGTGTTCTCGCTGGATTTCGTTAGGCTTTTTCCCTTTGTGTTAGAAAACACCCTCATTCGCTAAAATGAGGAAGTTTCAGAGAAGATGGCGCTTTCATGTTCAACTCTCTTCTCCATTTGTGGCTGCACGGGTGGATGTCAAAACAGGTGTTTCTGCCCCGCTCCGATACAGATCTTCCTCCAGTGCAGCGGCTTCTGCTAGTTCCACTGACCCAAGAGGCCAGCGGAAAGTACAGCTGTTTGCCACGTGTGTTTTTAGTCTAGTCGTAGAGCAGGCCTCAAATTTCATGCTCCCTGCCCCCATTAAGTACCTTTTGCAGAAGAGAAAGCCACAGATAAAGCTTATTAAATTGAGAATGCATTATTAAGCGTAAAGTCAAACTTAAGCATCAGTTACTCAGAAAGTCCTCGATTGAGAGATGCTGAGGGATCTTTGGAACAGCCCGCGTGTAGACGTGTTAGCACAGAGCAGCAGGATAAAGAGGGTGAGAAAAACGGTCACTTCAGAGATTATGGCTCAGCTTCCCCTTGAGAAGCTCGTCACTGCAGGAACGGGGGGACGGCTGTGCGAATGCTCGGTTTTGCCCCCAGGCCAAGGAGCCGGGAACCTACACGCTGCGGCAGCTGTGCGCCTCGGTGGGCCCGGTGTGGTTCGTCCTTCCTCACATCTACCCGCTGGTGCAGTATGACGTGTATTCGCAGGAGCCGCAGCTGCACGTGGAGCCGCTGGCCGGTGAGTGGGCCGCGGGGGCTCTGTGGGGGTTCTGCGCTGCACTTGGCTCCTTTACTCTAAGGGAGCACGTGGAAGGAGGGCTCTCTGCAGCGTCACGCTTGCGGCCCTCTGTAGCTGTGTCCCTCTGTAAGAGACACTTTGGGGAGCATCGTGGCGATTTTGCCTGGGAACTGACTCTGGCTCTTTTGTTCATCTGAATATTTGCTTTTCTGTAATTGCTACTTTCATGTTTACTAAACATTAGCTGAGAAAAATGAGCTAAATCTCAGCTGATGTCTACTGCAGGGAATTTAATAAGTAAATACAGTTTCCTGCTTAGAGTTCCATTTCAGAGGCCGAATCCTAGATTAGTTAGGGTCTGTGCTCTGATCAAAAGTCTTTTCCTTTGAAAGTGTTGATTAACCTTGACCCCCAGGCATGGCATTTGGGAAATTCAGTGCTGCTGTCCTTTTTGTTAAGTCCTACAGTTAGGAGGAGTTGGTGTAAACAAATTATTGAAGACCACGTGGCACTTCAGTAAAACACTAAGGAGTGAGTGTCTCTGTGGTTTAGGCTAGAAACAATGTATTTATTTGCTTGCTTCTTCCATTTGAGGGAAAAAAAAAAAATCAAGGAAAGCGTTTTTTCTATTTAATCTCTCTAAACTACCTATTTTTATGCTTAAAGCTTCTCCCCTGGCTACCTGGAAAGGCCCTCAGGTGCGGAACACAGCAGTCTCTCAGTGGTTCTTCCCTCAGAGAACCTTTTTTTTTTTTTTTTTAAACATCTTTATTGGGGTATAATTGCTTTACAGTGGTGTGTTAGTTTCTGCTTTATAACAGTGAATCAGTTATACATATAAATATGTTCCCATATCTCTTACCTCTTGCGTCTCCCTCCCTCCCACCCTCCCTATCCCACCCCTCTAGGTGGTCACAAAGCACCGAGCTGATCTCCCTGTGCTATGCGGCTGCTTTCCACTAGCTATCTACCTTACGTTTGGTAGTGTGTATATGTCCATGCCTCTCTCTCGCTTTGTCACAGCTTACCCTTCCCCCTCCCCATATCCTCAAGTCCATTCTCTAGTAGGTCTGTGTCTTTATTCCTGTCTTACCCCTAGGTTCTTCATGACATTTTTTTTTTTCTTAAATTCCATATATATGTGTTAGCATACGGTATTTGTCTTTCTCTTTCTGACTGACTTCACTCTGTATGACAGACTCTGGGTCTATCCACCTCATTACAAATAGCTCAATTTCGTTTCTTTTTATGGCTGAGTAATATTCCATTGCGTATATGTGCCACATCTTCTTTATCCATTCATCCGACGATGGGCACTTAGGTTGTTTCCACCTCCTGGCTATTGTAAATAGAGCTGCAGTGAACATTGTGGTACATGACTCTCTTTGAATTATGGTTTTCTCAGGGTATATGCCCAGTAGTGGGATTGCTGGGTCATGTGTACTTCTGTTTGTAGTGTTTTACCTTTTGTGAGCAAGGCTGAGCCCTGCGGCTGGGAGAGCCCGGGAGGTGCTGGCTCACGCCCCTGCCCTGCCCCAGCCCGCACTCCCTTTCTCACCTCCCGCCTCTCCTCCCTCTCTCTCTTCTCTGTTATTCCTCCTCCTTGTGTCTCGTCTTTTGCCTTCTTCCTTCTGCCTTCCCTGGAACCGATTCTTAGAAAACCTCAGCCCATTCCCGCCCCCCATTTCCATCCAGGAGAAAGTGTACTGTATCTTCTATTGAGCTGCTCTGAACCAGAGATCTGGAAGAGGCCTAACCTGGAAAGGCCAGAGGAAAATCTGAATAGCAGCAGCACATGCGGTTTCATTAGGTTTTTCTTTAGTGTCGTTATCTGAGTTTCTCTCAATAACTGGCTAGCGGGTAAGTTTTGAGACCCTCGTGGACACGGTTACCACCACAATTGCTAACTCTAAACTGAAGTGGTGATAAGGTCCCTGAGGCTCTCAGATTCTCTTGTGCCTAGTGAGGACCCCTCAACGCTGCAGACCGCGTCACTGAGGTGAGCGCTGAGGGTGGACACTGGGCGACCTTATGGAGTGTGTGCAGTGAACAGGTCGCCTCTAGCAGCAGAAGCAGCGCTCTTGTAACTCACGGTAGGCCTCCCATTGGCGCTCTTGGTTGGCAGTGATGCTTATTGCTGTCTTCTTCCCTTTAGATAGCCTTTTGGCTGGTATTCCTCAGAAGGTCAAGTTCACTGTCACTACTGGCCATTATACAGTAAAAAACGGGGACAGCCTTCAGCTCAGCAATGTAGAAGCCATGCTTATCCTGGGTCATGAAGAGAACAGAGCAGTGATCTACTCCAACATGAGAGGTAAGGCAGCAGTCACCTGGCGAAGGTGGACTCTTGGCGTTGTCATGCACCGTGAGGATATAAGGAGCCTGTCAACCCTGCCTTCCTCAGGTGGCGTCTGAGGCCCACTTCTCCTTGCAGCTCTTTCATGGCCACGTTCCACCTGTAGGTGGATTGTAACCCTTCCCCTAGGTGGGGCGTTACCTTGGAGGGGAATAGACTTAGAGCTGTGCACGCGCTCAGTGGCCGGTGGTGCTGACCTTGCTGTGGTCTCGTGATGCAGCGTTACTGCCTGGGCTCACGCTCCATGGCGATGCCCTGCTGGCCTCCGGCCTTCTTCCACCCTCCTCGACTTTCCTCAGCAGAAAGAAAAAGCAAATCAGCCTTTTAAGACACTGGTTGGAAGCCCTAAAACAGTCCCATCTCCCACAGTCCCCAGCCACGAGGTCTGGGGAGGGGAGGATGCAGCTCTCTTTCTCAGTGGGAGTTGGTCTGGCGGTGGGTTGGAGTGGGAGCATGTCCTGTGGGGACACCTGCGGTCTCGGGCGGGCTGTGTGAAGAGTGTCTCCTCTGTCTTCAGACTGAGCACGGTGACGGTTCTCTGAGCCGAGCTCAGCTGCACAGCCTTTGTGCAGTGCTGCTCTGTCTTCTGGGGTTTGCTCCTGAGTTTCCTGTCTCCCTTCCTCTGCGATCCTTCCCAGTTACACTCTTCCGTGTGTGTATGAGCAGCAGGAGCTGGGCTGGAACTTCACCGCTGGGCCTGTCTCCGCCTGCTGGAGGGGAGGGAGCCAGGACACAGGGGACTGTGTCACAGGCGGCTTTTCCTGTCTTCCCTAGAAAAGGCTTCTGACGCTGCGCTCCGGGTTCAGTCGTCCGACAAGGTCACGAGCATCAGCCTGCCGGCTGCGCCTGCATACCACATGATTGAATTTGAACTGGAAGTTCTCTCTTTACCTTCAGCTCCAGCAACTGGAGGGGAGAGCACCATGCTGGGGATGACAGAGCCCCATGGGAAGCATAAGGACACACAAAAAGCTGGCCACTGCATGGCTACCATGGACCACAAAGTAAGGAGGGGCTGGGATGGTGCAGTGCTGGGGGCAGCCTCTGTGTGTCCCACTTGCTTTGAAAGACAGTACATACAAGATGACTTCTGTTGGGATGGCAGGTTTCCAGTCCCTGTACCACAAGCTCGGGTTGGGTTTAGCATTTATGGCTGTGAATTACCCCTTCTTAGATGAGGGGTGCATCTTGCAAAGACAAAGACAGGCTCTTAACTTTTCTGTCCCAACTTGAGGAAGGATGGTTTATTGTAAGAGATACAGTTTTTGCTTAGAGGGCAGTGACTTTGCCGCTGTGGTCCATTTGTCCTGGTGATTAGGCTAGAGGGAGTTCTGTGTCTTGGTGTGCTTTACTTTCTGTTCCCTGAAACATCACATCATACTTAGCAAGGAGGAAGTGCTAAGATTTTATGCTTTGGTGCTGGTATTTATTGACAGTTATTTGAGAGATCCATGACTTTGATCCTAAATCCACAGTCCATCAGCTCACAGAGCCAGTCACTAGCATCATGCTTTTTCTGAGCTTGTCCATGTCTTAGAATACAGATATCAGTTCCTAGGGCTTTTGGACAAGCCAAGGTAGAAGTGTGTGCTTGTGGTCCCATGGGACTGTATTTTTTGCATACTGTTAAAAGCTGCTGCCTGAGGGTCTGGCTTCCAAACAGCCTGAAGGTAATTGCTGAGACCCTCCCCTTTGGGACACTGACAGGTCTTGGCACACCCTCAACTCCTGGGAGCCACTAGAAATACCATAGGCTGCTTGGACAAGCACAAAGGTTTGAGAGACGACCAAGAGCTGGGGCAGAGCTGAGCAACAAGGTTTATCTCCTACACGAGGCCACTCCTTCAAGACTGGGAGAGGCGGTCGTTTTATCTACTGTGCAGAAAGTGACACAGACCAGCGAAATGAAGAAACAGAGGAGTATGTTCCAAAATGAAAGAACAAGATAAAACCTTAGGAAATAACCTTAATGAAACAGAGACAAGTAATTTACCTGGTAAGGAATTCAAAGTAATGTTCATAAAGATGCTCATTGAACTAGGGAGAAGAATGGAGGAAAACAGTGAGAACTTCAACAAAGAGTTAGAAACGTATAAGAAAGTACCAAACAGAAGTCTCAGAGCTGAAGAACACAGTAACCGAACCGGAAGACACACTAGAGGGGTTCAGCAGCAGACTAGATGAAGCAAAGAAAGAACCCATCAACTCGAAGACAAAGCAGGGGGATTTGTCCAATCAGAGTGGAGAGAAGATTGGAAACAATGGAAGGTGGCCTAAGGGACTTATGGGACAACATCAAACAGACAAACATTCACATCATAGGGGTCCCAGAAGGAGAAGAGAGAGAGCGAAAGGGGCAGAAATTTTATTTGAGGAAATAATGGCTAAAAACTTCCCTACCCTGGGGAAGGAAAGAGACATTCAGATCCAGGAAGCCCAGAGAGTTTCAAACAAGATGGACCCAAAGAGACTCACACAAAGACACATTATAGGTAAAACGTCAAAAGTTAAAGACAAGGAAAGAATCTGTTATGTGCAAGAGAACCCCATAAAACTATCAGCAGATTTTCAGCAGAAACTTTGAAGGCCAGAAGGGAGTGGCACAATATATTAAACTTGCTGGGGGTGGGGGTGGGGGACAAACAACTTCCAACCAAGAATACTCTGTGTGGCAAGGTTTTCCTTCAGAATTGAAGGAAAGGTAAAGAGTTTTCCAGACAAGTAAAAACTAAAGTTTATCACCACTAAGCCAGCCCTACAAGAAATGTTAGAGACTTCTTTAAGATGAAAAGAAACTGTGCTAATTAGTAACAGAAACACATGAAAGAATAAATCTCATTGGAAAGGTAACTATTTGATAAATGTAAGTGAATTAATCACTTATAAAGCTGGTATGAAGGTGAAAAAAAAAAGCAGTAAAAATAGCCATGATTACAGTAATTAGTTAAGAGATACACAAGATAAAAAGATGTAATATGTGACATCTCAAAAACAAAATGTTGGAGGGGGGAGTTACAATGCGGAATTTTAGAATGGGATCAAACTTAAGTTGTTATCAACTTAAAATAGGCTGTTATAGATGTAAATTACTACATATAAACCTCATGGTAACCACAAAGCAAAACCTATAGTAAATACACAAAAGATAAAGGAATATAAACATACCACTAAAGAAGGTCATCAAAGCACAAGGAAGAGAGCAAGAGAAGGAGATAGGAACAGAGGGGAACTTTAAAAACAGCCAGAAAACAATTAAGATAATGACAATAAGCACACACCTATCAATAATTACTTTAAATGTAAATGGCTAGGGCTTCCCTGGTGGCGCAGTGGTTGAGAGTCTGCCTGCCGATGCAGGGGACACGGGTTCGTGCCCCGGTCCGGGAAGGTCCCACACGCCACGGAGCGGCTGGGCCCGTGAGCCATGGCCACCGCGCCTGCGCGTCTGGAGCCTGTGCTCCGCAACGGGAGAGGCCGCAACAGTGAGAAAAAAAAAAAAAAAAAAAAAAAAAAAAAAAAAAAATGTAAATGGCTAAATTTTCCACTCAAAAGACAAAGTGACTGAATGGATTAAAAAATCAAGACCCATCTATAAGCTGCCTACAAGAGACTCACTTTAGATGGAAGGACACACAAACCAAAAGTAAAGGGATGGAAAAAGGTATTCCATGCAAATAGAAATGGAAAAAAGCTGGAGTAGCTACACTTATATCAGACAAAATAGACTTTAAATCAGAGACTGTAGTAAGAGACAGAGATGGGTGTTACGTAATGATAAAGGGGTCAATCCAATAAGAAAATACAATGTTCATAAGTATTTATGCACCCAACATAGGAGCACCTAAAATATAAAGCAAATATTAACATATCTAAAGGGAGAATAGCAGTGTAATAATAGTACGGGCTTTAATACTCCACTTACATAAATGGATAGAACCTCCAGACAGAAAATGAATAAGTACACATAGGCCTTAAATATGTTAAACTAGAGGATTTAACAGACATTTACAGAATATACCGTCCAAAAACAACAATACAGGTTCTTCTCAAGTACACGTGGAATATTTTTCAAGATAGATCATATGTTAGGCTTCAAAACAAGTCTTAATAAACTTAAAGAGGATTGAAATCATATCAAGCATCTTTTCCAACCACAAAGGTATGAAACTGGAAACTAATTACCTGAAGAAAACTGCAAACTGCACAAATATGTGGGGATTAAACAACATGTTGTTGAAGAACCAATGGGTCAAAGAAGAAACCAAAAGAGAAATAAAAATCTATCGTGAAACAAATGAACATGGAAATGTAGCATATCAAAATTTATGGGATGCAGTGAAAGCAGTTCTCAGAGGGAAGTTCATAGCAATAAATGCCCTCCTCAAGAAACAAGAAATGTCTCAAATAAACAACCTAATTTTATACCTCAAGGAACTAGAAAAAGAACAAAGCTCAAAGTTAGTGGAAGGAAGGAAATAACATGATCAGAGGAGAAACAAATGAAATAGAGACTAAAGAGATAATAGAAAAGATCAGTGAAACTAAGAGCTGGTTCTTTGAAAAGATAAAATTGACAAACCTTTAGCTAGACTCACCAAGAAAAAAAGAGGAACCAAAATCAGAAATGAAAGAGATGTTACAAGTGACACCACAGAAATACAAAGTGTCATAAGAGACTAGTACTATGAACAATTATATGCCAATAAATTGGATGACCTAGAAGAAATGGATAAATTCCTAGAAACGTACAACCTACCAAGACTGAGTCATGATGAAATAGAAAATCTGAACAGACTGATTACTAGTAAGGACACTGAATCAGTTTTCAAAAATCCTCCCAACTAACAAAAAGTCCAGGACCAGATGGCTTCGCTGGTGATTCTACCAAACATTCAGAGAGTTAATACCAGTCCTTCTCAGCCTCTTCCAAAAAATATAAGAGGAAGGAACTCTCCCAAACTTGTTTTACAGGCCTGCATCACCCAGATAACAAAACCAGGCAAGGATGCCACAAGAAAAGAAAATTACAGGCCAGTGTCTCTGATAAACATAGGTACAAAAATCCTCAACAAAATATTAGCAAACCAAATTCAAGAAAACATGAAAAGGATTATACACCATGATCAAGTGGGGTTTACTCCAGGATTGCAAGGATGGTTCAACCTCCACAAAATAATGTGATACACTACATTAACAGAATGAAGGATTAAAAATCATGTGATCTTGTCAATAGGTGCAGACAGAGCATTTGACAAAATTCAACATCCATTTATGATAAAGATTCTCAACAAAGCCAGAATAGAGGGAATGTTCCTCAACATAATAAAGGCCATATATGGCAAGCCCACAGCCAACATTGTGATCAGTGGTGAAAAGCTGAAAGCTTTTCTTCTGAGATCAGGAATAAGACAAGGATGCCCACCACTTTTATTTAACATAGTTTTGGAAGTCTTAGAGCAATTAGGCAATAAAAATAAATAAAAGTCATCCACATTGGAAAGGAAGAAGTAAAACTGTCACTATTTGAAGATGATATTATATAGAGAAAAATCTAAAGACTCCAACACAAAAAACTGTTAGGACTAGTGAGCAAATTCAGTAAAGTTACAGGATACAAAAGCAATACACAAAAATCTGTTGCATTTCTTTACACTAACAATGAACTGTCAGAAAGAGAAATTAGGAAAACAATCCCATTTTCAATTGCATCAAAAAATAAAATACCTAGGAATAAATTTAACCCTGAAGGTAAAAGACTTGTTTATTGAAACTCAGAAGACATTAACGAAAGAAATAGAAGACATAAATAAATGGAAAGATAGTCTATGCTCATGGGTTGGAAGAATTAGTATTGTAAAATGTCCATACTACCCAAGGCAGTCTGCAGATTCAGTGCAATCCCTATCAAAATTCCAATGGGATTTTTCACAGAAATAGAAGAAACAATCCTAAAGTTTGTGTGGAACCACAGAAGACCCCAAATAGCCAGAGCAATCTTTTGTTTTTGTTTTTTTTTTTTTTTTTTGACTGCGTTGGGTCTTTGTTGCTGCCTGCGGGCTTTCTCTAGTTGTGGTGAGTGGGGGCTACTCCTTGTTGCAGTGAATGGGCTTCTCATTGTGGTGGCTTTCCTTGTTGCGGAGCACAGGCTCAGTCGTTGCGGCACACGGGCCCTAGAGCACGTGGGCCTCAGTAGTGGTGGCACGCAGGCTCTAGGGCGTGTGGGCTTCAGTAGTTGTGATGTGCGAGCTCTAGAGCACAGGCTTAGTAGTTGCGGCACACAGGCTTAGTTGCTCTGCAGTATGTGGCATCTTCCCAGACCAGGGATTGAACCTGTGTCCCCTGCATTGGCACGCGGATTCTTAACCACTGCGCCACCAGGGAAGTCCCCAAAGCAATCTTGACAGAGAAGTACAAAGCTGGAGGTATTATGCTCCCTGACTGCAAACTATTAATATATTACAAACCTATAGTAATTAAAACAGTGTGGTACTGGCATGAAAACAGACACGTAGATCGATGGACCAGAATAGAGAGCCCAGAAATAAATCTACACATATATGGTCCATTAATTTATGATGAAGGATCCAAGAATGTATAATGAGGGAAGGACATTCAATAAAAGGTGTTGGGAAAACTGGAGAGTCACATACAAAGGAATGAAACTGGACTTTACACTGTACACATAAATGAACTAAAAATGGATTAAAGAATTGAAAGTAAGACCTGAAACCATAAAACTCCTAGAAGAAAACACAGGTAGTAAGTTCTTGACATGGGCCTTGATGTTGATTTTTTCAATCTGACACCAAAAGCAAAAGCAATAAAAGTAAAGATAAACAGATGGGACTCCGTCAAACTAAAAAGCTTCTACACAGCAAAGAAACTATTGACAAAATGAAAAGACAGCCTACTGAATGGAAGAAATATTTCCAAATCATATGTCTGATAAGTGGCTAATAAACAAAATGTATAAAGAACTCATACAACTCAATAGCAAAAAAAACAAGCAATCCAATTTAAAAACGGGCAGAAGGGGCTTCCCTGGTGGTGCAGTGGTTGGGAGTCCGCCTGCTGATGCAGGGGATGCGGGTTCGCGCCCCGGTCCGGGAGGATCCCGCATGCCGCGGAGCGGCTGGGCCCGTGGGCCATGGCTGCTGAGCCTGCGCGTCCGGAGCCTGTGCTCCACAGTGGGAGAGGCCGCGACGGTGAGAGGCCCACGTGCCGCAAAAAAAAAAAAAAAAAAA